TGTCACAATTTTTACAGTGCTTATTTTTAATGTAGTGTGGTGTGCTCCTTAGAGCGGCATTCATGAAAACACAAAAAGCCACACCATCTTGGTCTTCATACCTTCGATTAACTTATACATTTACAAGCTTACATTTCATTATCTCAACCATGAATGCTTACGGAATTACGCAGTTTCGGTCAGGTCTTTTTCTTGGGTCATTAAGCCGTGATGACCAGAGCCTGACAGCCTTTTTTTGACTATGATTTAGAACCGGTATTGCATAGAAACGTTAATATATATATACACCCACACATACACGCTCGAGAGAAAGTAGCAGGAGCAGTATGAAAGATAATTAGTCAAACCATCCTAAATCTATCTATCTATGCCTGTTTAATTTTGTTTTTCGGTTATGAGTGTATATAAGAGATAAGATAGAGCCGGATAGTCTTCTTGTCCTAATGTTAACGTGAGACTTTTACAATAATGAGTTCCGGCTCTGATGATGTTAATCAAATGATAGACGGAAGTTTAGCCCTTTTTCATACAAAGCGAGGTAGGATGTCTAGTGGACTGCGTGAAACTGAACGCCGTATTAAGGCCAAACGACTTCAGAACAACGTGATTCAGCCGTCGTCTTCTGGTGAGATCGGCCTACAAATCCCTTTTCCATGCACTTTAATACGAAATGAAGATCTCCTTTACAATATTATCTCTGGGGGCTGATCGGAATTCAGTTACTCCTCTTATCTACAATAGTATAAAATTATCAGCATAAAAATTTATTGTAGATGTATTATATCAAGCTATTTGGAAAGTATTCGGATAAACTATATTGCAATTTCAGTATAACCTTACTTTGGATCAATCATTGGAAAGAGCTGGTTGATTCTATGAAAGAGGAAATTCCAAGCGTACTTTAGGGCAGAGGGACATGAGGTCAATAGATAATTTGGAGAGAAGATGACGGCTAAACAGGTGCCCCAAACATCTGCAGGACTAGTTCGCTCCAGCACTGGTTGCACTATGAAGGCAGCCTGGTGGCCAGGCGCTGCCAAAGCGCATCCGGGACCTCGAGCTGCAGAGATTGATCCAAGGCCGCGCGAGCCATTCGCTCCAGTATATTCATGGCCACCTGACATAAGGTCATCTAAAGTTGTGGAAAACACTGAGTATAAATATCCGACAGAAATAATATTGGAGAAAAAAAACCCTCTTCAGTATCTGGATAAGTATTAGGCATTTTTACATATTGGTTACAAGGATAACGCCATTAATTAAATAGACATAAGCGACAAAGATAAGGTAAATATATAAAACTCTAAAGGACTCGAATCCATTAGTTAAGAAAAACTTGCCACAAAGCTTACAAGCTATATTAAAGAATGAGAAGGAACCCAAAATTAATGCATTTGCATGTTATTCATTCTAGCGATATTTTCATTGTTTAAAAATCAATCATTTATCGCGTTGAAAGTCTATTGCCAAATTTATTTTTTATGAGAATTAATTCCGTCCGGGATTTAGTAGTCCACAGGTCTCACATGGTGTTTAGTCTTCGACCTCCAAGTTCATATACTACATGATCACTCGACCAAACCCAAACTCCGATGTGGCCAAAATAATAATACTTTGAATTAGTTTACATAATCATAGAAAATTTGTATTTAGCAAATTCAAAGCGAACCCATCTTTCTCTTGCCTTAATGGGCTGGTTGACGTGAATATTTTAAACAAATAGTAGTCGTCAATCCTAAAATTAGAGCCTAAGCTGTCCTTAAACTTGTGAGCTAGAAAAATATATTTACTTACACTAGATTTATAACGATGTGTTGTATCTGTATGCATGTGCTGTATAATAGTATATTTAAGGACCTGCACATGAGAAAGCCTATGATGACTTTAACGTTTATTCAAAACAAAAATTATTTTATAAGGTAGAGTTAGATCAACATAAAAAAGGAAGAATAAAATACATTATTTGATATTTCTGAGAGGTATAGCCAAAATTCCATAATAGGAAAAGAAA